TTATTATAGTATAGTAGTGAATGCAGAAGAAATTTTACATAGCCATCACGCATTCTTTTTATTTTTGGTTTTTTATGTTTTTTTTTTTTTTTTTTATTTTTTTTTTTTTTTTTTTTTTTTTCTTGTTATAAAACTAGGCCATATTCCTTGCTGAAGATTGGGGAAGGAAGTAAAATCTAAAGAAGGAAATAAAAGTCATTTGGCATCTTATCATCTAGTACTATTTTATTCCTTTTTGCATAATTTTGTATAACACTCTGATCTTTCTTTTTACATTACAGAAGTAGTATTTGCTTACTGCGAAGTGTCCAGAGGGGACAGAATGTCTAAAGTCAGTCATTTTTTGAAAAAGTGACCTTTCCCTTGGGAAGTTCCAAGAGATGTAAGAACTCAGGGCAGGAAGAGCCGTCTCCTGCTGCACTCTGAGGAAGGTGGGAGGGGCGGAGAGTCCAAGGATGCCCTGGGCAGGCCCTGGACCTGGTCACTCTGAAGGTGACGGAAGTCAGGGAGAGCCAGCAGAGGGACACTGCCGGGGCAGAGTGGAAAGGATGTGAAGCTCTCAAGAAAGGAGAGTTCATCTTTATCTCTATGTTAGCGTCTACTTTCTAAGAATAAGCACTGCTTTCAGAGATCAAAGGCACGAGGTGAAACTTAATAAGCAGGCACAGGTGAGGCCGAGTGTGAAAGTACAATTCTTTGTCTATTTACTTGACAGGGCCACTTCCGGCTGAACAACTTGTCTTGACCTAGCTGCCCCGACTCTTTCGGGCCACCTGGCGCTGTTTACCTCTCCAGGGGTGGGATGCGTATGATCCGCCCATGAGTGCTTTCCTCAGATCTGCCAGTAGAGCGCTGTGGGGTAGACACATGGTTGTACCGCGGTGGGCTCTGTTGGCCGGGCCTCAGCTCCTTGGTTTGGACCAGGAAAGGGGAGAGGAGAGTGCGACTGTCCTGAGCCTAACCATTGCAGCATTTCTAGAGGGGAGGAGCACAGAGCCAGTGAGAGCCTTCACTTAGGGTGCGATCTTGCATTTGGTCACTGGCTGGCACCATCTAGGCGGAGAGATCATAAAACAGCAGTTCTTGACCCAGACACACCCAGTTCGAGTCACCTGAGGCGCTTATGAAACTCCTCATGCAGGGCTGTGCCCCCATCGATTGTGCTGGGGGAGGGGAGCGGGGCAGCCCAGCCAGCACTGTTATCCCTCCCCCCCCCCCCCCCCCCCCCCAGAGCCGGGGATAGGACTCAAGCAAGCAATTATTCTCCTGCACTCTATCTCCCCAGCCCTGTTATTCTAAAAGCTCTCCAAGTGGCTCCGTGATTCCAGTATGGGTGCAGAGGCGGGGAGTAATTCTTAATGAAGACCTGCCTGCCTCCAGCCCTGTCATGGTGGGCGAGGTGTGGTCGTCCCTGATTTGTCATCGGGCGCTGAAGTGCAGAGGAGACCTAAGTAAGTGGTGTGATTGCTTTCAAAGCGTTCTGCATTTCAGAAGTACTGCAGATGTTCGATTCAGTTGTCACTCTGAGTGTGTGTGTGTGTGTGTGTGTGTGTGTGTGTGTGTGTTTATGTATGCTTTTAAATTCCTACAAAGAGTACATATAACTGTTACACACCGAATTTTAACATACGGAAAATGACTAATGAGTTGTCTTCTCTCTGTGGCTTTAAATACAGGGGCGAATGCCATCAATCAGAATGTATCAGATTGAGATATGACTGTGATTTTGTTCTATTTATTTGTCCCCTCCTCCTGCTTTTTTTTTTTTTTTTCTTTTTTCATTTTTCCTGCTTCTGCTGGAGCAAAGATGGACTTCTGTGTTCTATTTAGGGAGCAGGGAGTCTACATGAATAACAGTTCGGGAGCCACAGACCTTTCCTTTCGTGGCTGTGGTGTTTCAGTCTAGCACCCTGCGTATTAGATCAGTTTCCTTTGGGTACAGCTGCCGCTGGGCTGGGCTGGGCTGGGCTGGGCTGAGCTGGGCGCTACCTCCCAATAGGCTGGGAGTGCCCTGCCTGTATATCAGCTGGATCCACAGCACATAGGTTTATGCTGGACAGCTGCCCAGCCCTTGGGGTGAAAGGCAAGTTCTGGTGGCTGTGGGCTGTGGCTCTGGGTGGAGCTGGCCAGCCTTAGAAAGCTTCCTTGGCAGAGGCCGCCGAAATACCTCCGAGCAGTCAGTGGCTAGAGCCTGCCGTCTGGCCCCAGAATGTTCTGGACAGTTGGGGTCCTAGCGCCCAGCTTTCTGTTGTGGGTAAATTGTGTGCTGGTCCCTGTGCTGGGGGCTTGAGAGAGATCCTCTTATCCACTTAAACTTTGCTGTCACTTGTTGCCACATGTGTTATTCTTCCCATCTTGCACTTGAGGAAACTGAGGCTCAGAGACGGCAAGCAACTTCATGTGTTCAGTGTCACAGCTAATAAGTGACAAAGCCAGGACTGGAACTCAGGCTAGTCCTCTGCGAGGCCTTTGAAACCATTTGATGGGTGAGATCAAGGTCCGGAGAGGAAAAGCGGCTAAGTTGATGCAGCTGGTTCTGATTCATGGCCACTTCTGTGACAGGCGCTAACATGGTCTTCCTGCTTCCCTGCTGTGCCTGGATGCCATGTGGTGCAGGTGCAAGCAATGGTGTGCTGGTGTATTGATCCATTTTCTGTTTCTGTAACAATATACCTGGGGCTGGGTACTTTATTTTTAAAAGAGGGTTATTTAGCTCATAGTTTGAGAGACTGGAAGTCCAATACTGTTGGCCCGTGTTCCTACCTCTGCTGAGAGCCCACTGGCACACCACAGCCGTGGATGGCATCATGACAGGAGTGTGTGCAGAGGGTGAGATCACCAGAGACAGGAAGCAGACCACCCGGGGCCCCATCTTTCTTTTTGTAACAAGCCCCTCTTGTTAAAGCTAAGTCCTGCGACCAGAGGTAATCCCTTTGTGGGCAGCACCCCAGTGACCTCGATATCTTGCGCCAGGCCCCATTGGTCTACCACATCATCACATGAGGACCAGGCTTCTAGCATATGAGCCTCTGATTGGACTTAAACAGGGGCAGGTGTATAGGGTGGGAACCTGGACTCAGCGCTGTGACTGTGCTCCAGGATGGGATACCATGTGAGGAGGCCTCGCGGGAGGGCAGGCGGAAGTGACCTCGGTGAGCGTGTGTCGGCAGGAAGGGTTGGGATGGGGAGTGGAGTCACAGTGAGTGAGAGCTGCGGACTTGGACAGGAGTCTGTTCCAGGCAGTGCTCTGCTCTGTCCGTTACCCCTTTGGTAGTTGGTGGGAGTCTGGGCCCCAGGATCTGCTCCAGCCCTTCACATTCCTGTTTCCGAGTGTATGCTCAGCCAAAGTTGGCAGCAGGCCCTTTGCAGAGCTCCACTCTGTGCCTCCATTTATGGAAGGAAGAGGCACGAGGAATGCCCCTTGGGTGGTGTCAGGAGGAGCTGCGTTGGAAAGCGAAGAGTGCAGCCCCTGTATACGGTCAGGCGTCAAGGCCCCCCAGCAGGGCCACTTACCAAGGAGGTAGCGCTGAACTCAGCCACATGGTAAGGCAGTTGCTTTTGTTTTCATCTGGATCTGTGCCAAGGACTTGACTTTTTCTGTTCATTTTATTAAAAACTTTATAAACAGCGTTAATAAGTAGATATAAAAATGCTGCATAAATGACAGAGGGACTCAGTGAAATTCACAAGGGTCAGCTATTGAATAACAAAACCACGTCCTTGCACCGTCAGATTCCTATATATGCAAATTAGAGACAGTGCTTTTACCACAGTGTTTTAATTAATATTTATAAATCACAGAGCGCCTCTGAAAGGGCCAGTAAGCTGTTCATGTGATTATCACGTTACACAAACCACAGACGCTCTGGAGATTGCTGCCTGTTTTGCATTTTGGCCTGAGGAGTAAGTGAGCATGTTATGTGTGTGTGTGTCCCCAGGTGTGGCGTCTGCACAGCGGCAGGTCACTGTCCAGGAGGGACCCTTGTACCGCACGGAGGGCTCCCACATCACCATCTGGTGCAACGTGAGTGGCTACCAGGGCTCCTCCGAGCAACACTTCCAGTGGTCCATCTACCTGCCCTCGGCCCCTGAGCGCGAGGTGCAGATCGTCAGCACCATGGACTCCTCCTTCCCGTATGCCATCTACACCCAGCGTGTCCGCGGGGGGAAGATCTTCGTGGAGAGGGTCCAGGGGAACTCGTCCTTGCTGCACATCACAGACCTCCAAGCCCGGGACGCAGGGGAGTATGAATGCCACACGCCCAACACGGAAGAGCGGTACTTCGGGAGTTACAGCGCCAAGATGAACCTAGTGGGTAAGGAGAGGCCGCTTCTGCACGCCCCGTGCCAGGCCGTAATCTCTTCTCTCATGGTACGCCTGCCTCTGTTTTGTATCATGCACTGACTTAAACATAAGACAGCAAGACGCGAGGTGCTGTAGAGGTCACCAGGTAGCATAAGCAAATAAACTTTCTGCTCTCACCCGTTTGTAGTACAAGCTTGAGGCTGAAACCGTAGAAAGACCTAATGCTCATGGTAAGAATTTCAGAGGTTGTTAATGCTCTTACTGGTGAAAGGGGATACAAAAATACAAGGGAAAGACATTTGGGATAATCTGAAAAGAGGACGTGGAAGATAAAACATGTAAAATCAGCTGGCAGAGTGGCAGACCCCACACAGGCCACGGAAAACTGCCCTTCTCACCCCCGAAGGTTGGAGTCAGCCCAGGACAGACAAATTAATTGGAGAATGGTGAGAATAGTTACACAGACGTGTCAATGTGCAGTGGGGAGACGCGCAGGAGAGGGCCTTCCCGGCCATGCCGTGGAGCCCGGTGCTTCTCAACCCTTCTCCCGAGGGAAGAGGGAGGCGAGGAGCACAGCGGTTCTGAGCGTGAATGAACTAGCAGTGCTCAGATAATAGCGGATGATGCTCTTTGGAAATTGAATGGACCTAGGAGACACACACTTTGTGACAGAGTCTGCTTGGGTTACATCCTTTAATCTTCCTCCCCGTGGACAGGAGTTCAGTTAATGAAAACTCCGGAAAGGGAACAAAGGTAATTACTTTCTTCTGTGGCAGGACTAGGCTTTAGGTAGATAGGGGGATGTCACACAGATTCCTTTCAGCATCTGCTGCTCCCCGTGGCCTTATTTAAAATGCTCAGCCCCTAGGTCGCTGTATTTGGGGTGAATTCTGTGGGCTTCTCCACGTCTCAGGAGGACCTTTAGGCCAGCTCTGAGAGAGCTGAGCGCAGCTGAGTCAGGAAGAGCGTGTGACCCAGGCCCTCGCTCAGACCTCTGGCCCCACAGGAGCTGTCCTTTGGGCAGCCCTGGCCACAGTGTTTGCTGATGCGAGAGGGTTAACAGTCTCAAGGCTTTTTTTCTTTATCTGCTTGTCTTAATTTCTAGTTCTTATTATCACAGTTGAGCAGGGCACATTGGTGTTTCTTTTTTTTTCTCTCATAAGCCTGTATCCTACCCACGAGTGCTGTAAAAGCTCATCCTGGGTGAGTACAGGGAGAAAACACGGCAGTGTGACCAGCGTGACAGATGGGGGTGGGGCTTAGACTCCGGAAGGCAGAAGCCTCAGGGTGAGGCTGCAGCCAGAGACTGCAGGACACGTGTCGCAGGCCTGAGTTCTCCCAAGCGTGGCTTCTTCCAGGGTGGACTCCTTTGATGAATTATATAAAATACAACTTGTGAAAAGAGGGGACCATGGTGATTTTTCTCTACCAAGAAATATTTTAATGTTAAAAAGAAAATAACCTTGCACTCACAAAGTATTGCTGGGGAGAGTGGGAGAACAGGGAGAGGTGGGGTGCGTAAGTGGAGAAACAGTGAGGAGGATCTGGGGAGCCGGAAGTCCCCGGAGCCGCTCCTCTTTGAAGATCAGCCAGAAGTGAAGTGCAGGTATTTCAGAGCAGTGCTAAAGTCAACAACAACTCTTATTAGGCTTAAAAGAAAATTATTCTGACAGTGTTTTCAGGAAGCCCATTTATCAGTTAAACTTTCGAAATGTTTGATCCGAGCATTATTAAAATATCAAACAGATAATTATAAGTACCAGAAAAAAAGCACCTTAAAACTGCATTATACATTAACACAAAGTCTTGCTGTATATGTGCCTTTGGGGGTTACCTGTCACCTGAACTGCCTGTCAGAGGCTGTCCCACCAGGCTGCCTGCTCCCACAGGTCTCGAGTTCTATGCTTTGTGACCGTGTGCTCTTGGGATGTTCTCTGTTTCAGTGATCCCGGACTCGCTGCAGACAACCGCAGTGCCCCAGACTCTGCACAAAGTGGAGCAGGACCCGCTAGAGCTCACTTGCGAGGTGGTCACGGAAACATTCCAGCACAGCCACCTGTCTGTGGCCTGGCTCCGACAGAAAGGTGGTGAGAAGCCGGTGGAAGTCATCTCCCTGAGCCGGGACTTTGTGCTGCAGTCCAGCAGTGAATACGCCCAGAGGCAGAGTCTGGGGGAGGTGCGGCTGGACAAGCTGGGGAGAACCACCTTCCGCCTCACCATCTTCCACCTGCAGCCTGCTGACCAGGGCGAGTTCTACTGTGAGGCTGCTGAGTGGATCCAGGATCCTGATGGGTCGTGGTATGCCATGACCCGGAAGCGCTCTGAGGGGGCCGTGGTCAACATCCAGCCCACCGGTCAGTCTCCCTGGACTTCTGCTTCCTCCTGTACTTTACCACAGGGGAGGGCCGTCAGTGACCTAGAGGGTGTGCAGACACTGCCTTCGGTGACCTGTAACCATAGAGAAAGTTGCCAGGCCAAGTCAGAGATGGTGCTGCCTTAGTCAGAAGGCACTGCAGGGTGTATCGGACACAGGTCTCCTAAGACCTGATCCTCGAGCAAATTATAGACAGGTGCTACCCCAGCCGAGTCCTGCTTATTCTCTTGTTTTCTTTGTACAGAGTGTTTTTCATCTTTCCAAGTAAGAAATTTATTGAAGAGTTGAGCGATTTCACAGCAACCGTTTGTGTCTTGTGCCTCTGGGTCTCCATTCCTATTAGGCACAGCCACTGCCCTGGTTGGTGGTGTTGCTTCCGCAGTTTCGTTTGTAAATGACATTTGAGATTGTGAATCTGCGATTACAGCTATAAAATGATGGACGCTAGAAATTAGGATTACATTATTATCTTGTGTTAGTACTTCCCTAGAGGTGTAACTCCAAAATGCTGTATCACATATTGTCATTGTCTCTTAGGATGTCCTTGAGGTAGGTAGGTAGTGGCATCCCCATTTCATAAGTAAGGATGAGGATGCTGCGTGCAGAGGACTTTATGACAGGGCTCCAGGGAGAGTCACTGTGCTGCTAAGCCTGTCCAGAGAGTGCTAGGTCCTCCTGTAGATGGTTTCTCCAGGGAGTGCCTGGCTAGACGCCCTGAGGAAGCCGTGTGAGTGTTTAGGGCTGGTGGCTTGGAGAGCTGCAGACCTCTCTGGCTCCCTTTAGTGTCTCCCATGACCCCTGAGCTTTGTGAGCTCCAAGTCAGAGCTGACAGTTTTTGTTCCTGCCTGGGCTGGACTGGGCTGGGAGGTAGGTGTCCTTTGGCCCATCAGTCTCTAGCTCTGGAAGGTGGTCATGGTGCTGTTATTAAGAAATCCAAGTGGACCATGCACATGGGTCCTTGTGTTGGTGCTTCCCTCTAGTGAGGGCAATGGCAGTCCTGGCGAGGGAGTAGAGGACTGTGGGTCATCATGATGGGGTCTGCATGCCAGGACGTGGTACTCACTCCTTGTCGCATTTGCTAGTGAGTTTTAAAATTTTATTTATTTTTTATGTATTTGGTACAGGGTCTTTACTCAGCTCATAGTGATTACTCATAGTGATCCTCCTGTTTCAGCCTCCCCAGTGCTGGGCTCAAACTTGTGCATCGCCACGCCTGGTCTTGGGGGCCAGCTCAGTGCCACCAGGGTGGGGCTGGCATGGCATGTGGTGCCAGGGATCAAATCCAGGTCCTTGTGCTTTCCTAAGCAAGTGCTTAGACCTCTGCGCTATCTCTGTGGCCCTGCTAATGAATTTTGTGGGTCTTGGCCTGGTGCCATTCACATTGAAGACCTGGGCTTCAGACTCACAGTGGACCTCCAGGGCTTTATCCCAGAAGTCCTAAGGCAGAGAAGCTGGGTTCCCACTGCACTGCCCAGGTGATGACTTTTGCCGTCTACGTTTTATCCAGCACAGCTCTAAAGGGAATGAGGCAGGAGCGTGTCTCAGGAAAGCTCATGGCCATCACCTCACTAGAGGACTGGTTCTCAGGTAGGAGCTTGATCTTCTCTAGGACCCAGGGCTCTTTGCAGCTTCTGGAGCTCCTGGTATTAGAAAGTCTTCTGAAGGAGCTTTATTTCCTATTTACCATTTTCCTTGCTGGATGGTTTGAAGATCAGCTTCAAAAGTCTGGACTAAATTTTGAGTCTTAATGCCTTTTAAATTAGGTTGCATCAGTTAATCTTCTTTATTTTAATCTTACCAATTTGGAATTAGGGCTTTTTGAATTTACCCTCCAAATGTATCTAAACTAAGCCAGCAGAGGGAAGATTTAATGAAAGGAAAAGGGTGGCAACCTGACTTTGTGTTGACGTTCAAGCTCAGTGGTTGCATCCCCAACTTTACCCTTCTTTTAGTTCATGTTGGTAATAGGTCATCAGTCCCTGCCGCACTGCAGGTGTGGCGTGGGGCACCTGGAGGGGCCAGATGAATGATCTTGCTCCCTGCACTTGTCCTTGTGAACGTGAGAGCCAGTGGCTGAGCAGGAAGTGCAGAGTGCTGTAGTGGAGCCTCCAGAGTCCTCTGGGACACAGCAGATATAAAGGTTCTTGCTCTTCTAAGTTTTCCCTGTGTGGGAACATTGTTAAGTCAAATCCAGTAACTCTTGGACAACTAATGACTTGGGTGGTTTCAGCAATGTTATCTGATTATTCGGCAAACAGAAAAGTCAAGTATGACTAGATGCTGAGCTCTGGATTTGCACTGTGGGAAAAGAAAAGGAAGGAAGGAAAGGTAGCCAAAGCCCAAATACTGAGAAGTGGGGCTGGGGTTCACTCTGTGGACCAGTTTTACAGCTGCTCTTCGTACCTTAGCAGCCCTTGGAAGGGCCTGAGGCCGTGCACCTAGGCTGGGAGCCTGGAGCTGGGGCTGGGCCTGGGGCATCGAGGTTCTTTGAACTTGAAGGGAGGGGAAGGACATGTGAGGTGCTGTGGCAAAGTCTCTGCCTTCCTATTAGTGGCAGCTCTGGTTGTCTTGTTTTGTAAATTTCAGTCAAGGAATCTGTTCCTGGAGTTGCTCAGAACCTTTGATCTACAGAACCACAAAAGAAAAACAGAGTGTGCATTGTGTTATGGCGTGGGCTACCTGGAGCTTGGGGAGGGAAAGCCTCCAAGCGAGGAAGGCCCAGGGAAAGCCTCCTGGGCTCAGAACAGCAGAAGGAAGGGCACGTGGCAGGGCCCAGTGAGAGAGAAGTACAAAACGGCCGCACAGGTAGGAGGACACGCAGGAGGGAGGGGTCATGGAACCCAAGGGAGGACCAGGGTGCAGAGGTGGGGCACACCAGTGCCATTTGTTAGGTCAGTGACTTGTTGCAGGAGAAGGGCCAGAGGCCAGATTTCAATGAGCTAACAAGTGAGGCCTAAATGCATTTCCAGTGGGTTGGCTGGGCACTGCAGAGAGCGAAGTGCTCTGCAGAAATGGCATGACGTAGATCTTCAGCCTGGAGATGGGAAGGTGCCTGAGCTACAGTGGGCTCCCCTGGGTAAGAAGTGTTCTTGGTTGCCCAAAGCAGGAGAGCCACCATTGTGCCAGTTCTGGGTCATGCTGGCATGTCCACACTGGCATTTATGTAGAAGGAGTGCCTTTTAGCCTTGATGTTGGGTTACAAATTACTATACTTTGGTTGACCCAAGAGCTAATAACAGAGAGCAGATAGCATGGGTTCATTCATCGAAGAGGCTGCAACAGAGGAAAGCCTGCTTCTTCCAGCCACGTCTCCAGGTCTGGGCTCTTGGAGAGGGAAGGAAACAGTGGTGGCTAACACGTGGCAGGAAGCTTGAAATACAGAAAAGGAGAGGAGGAGTGCTAATGGCGGTGATGGAGGGCAGGGCTGTGAGGTCCAGCGAGGGCGGGCGGGGGCAAGAAGAGTGAGGCAGCCCGCGCACATTCCTGTGTACTTCAGGGAAACAGGGTTTTATTTGCTCAATGAGAGATGTGGCCTGGAGTGAATGAGCCAAGGGTCCTGAAGCTGCTGGAAAATCCTACAAGTGCCAAATGGGGAGGGCAGCTGTGACGGGGGCTGAGGAATCTATCGGGGGTCGACATGCTGCTGTGCTGACCTCTCAGTGTCTTCTCCAGAGAAGCAGAGCTAGAACTACAAGGAAGGATTTGGGCCAAGGTCACAGCTATCCCCCTGCAGCCAGTGCTCAGTTTCTTGGGCACAGGTTTCCTCTGACCCCCATCTTCCTTCTCTTTCCCCTCACTGTTCCTGTGGGGCACCTCTGAGCTTGGGTAACCTTCTCGTAAGTGTATAGTCACCATGTGCCACCATCACCTGGAATACTGTTGGGGACCAGGTTCGTGATGGGTCCTTCTTGGGTCTCCCCCTTCTGCCTGCCTCTTTGAAGAATGTTTGGGCTCCTTGATCATTTCAGAGGCCACCTGACCGTCAGTTAAGTGGGTAGTGCCCCACTCCACCCACGCTAGCAGGTGGCAGACCAGTGACAAGACGCTGCCTCTTATTTCCCCAAGTAATGCCATCAGGGTTCCTCGTATCCATGCCTTACTTCCAGTATTCATGTGGGGGTTGAGAGAGAATTTCAGTATTTTCACTTTTGGATATTAGCTAGTAAGATTAGAGTCAGCAGCTAGGTCACTGTCCATATGCCTCATAGAGCTCTGTGGGCGTAAGTTCTCTAACACCTGCTGAAAGCATTTGTAGTTGTGTTGCTTCCGTGGAGTAGTGGTGCACGTGGGAAGGTAGATCTTCGCGATCTGCCATTGAAAAAGCTAGTAGGAGTGCCTCCTAGGTGAGGGAGGACTCATCAAGGACAACATAAGCTTTGAGCGGAGCCGTGTTGGTCTTAGGGTAGCGAGCTCCTTAGGCCAATGGAGTCTAGCAAGGATGTGGTGATGTTCAGTGAGTGCTCTGGGCTTCCAATAACCTGGAGTTGGGCTTTCCCTCTGAATGAGCACTGTGGGGCCTCATGTAGTTAGCATCTTAAAGAAAGGCAGGGGGAGTGGGATTTCGCCTGTGCAGTTGGGTTAGCTGCAGCCACGTTTGCCCAGAATCTATCCGTTTTGTTTGTTTTCTCAGACAAAGAGTTCACTGTTCGGCTGGAGACGGACAAGCGGCTGCACACGGTGGGTGAGCCAGTGGAGTTCCGATGCATCCTGGAGGCTCAGAACATTCCTGACCGATACTTTGCTGTCTCCTGGGCCTTCAACAGCTCCCTCATCGCCAGCATGGGGCCTAACGCTGTGCCAGTTCTCAACAATGAGTTTGCCCACCGGGAAGCCAAGGGACAACTGAAAGTGTCCAAAGAGAGTGACAGTGTCTTTGTGCTGAAAATCTACCACCTCCGTCAGGAAGATAGTGGGAAGTACAACTGTCGTGTGACTGAGCGGGAGAAAACTGTCACTGGGGAGTTCATCGACAAGGAGAGCAAGCGTCCTAAGAACATCCCCATCATTGTCCTTCCCCTCAGTAAGTAGAGGCGCGTTCCCTGCGTGTCCTCCCTTGGTCCAAGTCAGCAGCTGATGTCTCTAGGAGAAGTGGCGGGGGTAAGGCAAGCCCCGCTTAAATTCAGGGTTAAAGCCGAGAGGGAGAGCACCCACCGCTGAGCCTGTCGGCCTCCTCCAGCCCTCCCGCCTGCGCTCAGCGGCCCATCAGGTACCAAGAGCGTTGGGAGTGTAGCTGGCTAGGGCTGGGTACTGGCTGATGCGAGCATGAGTAGCTGAGAGTAAACACCAGAGTGCCAGCTCCGCTTGGAGAAAGACCAAGCCCAGAGTGCTAGTTGTTCCCATGTGGGAATTATATGCTAGAAGAGTGGGCAGAGGCTGGTCTTGAAATCTCATTTAAGGAGAGCTGGTCTTTGTGAGGATTTTAAATCATATAATGCATTATGAAGAGGGATTAGATTTTGAAGTTTTTGCAGGTAGCAAGGTGGGCATTGCCCTAATTGTTTTCCCTGTTGAAATTGCATTAGAGGCAGCGGCTTATCGAGTACTTGCCTAGCATGCTCCAGACCCTGGGTTCATCCCCAGCACTGAACAGAAAAAAAAAGTAGTGGGCAGGCTGTCCCAGCTTCCCAGAGCCCGCCTTTGGAGGCTTGGCTGTCTCTGATAGGCTCAGGTGGGGCCTGCTTCCTAAGAAGCAGATGTACTGCGCGGGGAGAGTCCTTGCAGGGGGCTCCAGGGGGACCCATGTTTGTGCATGTTGTGTTCAAATACTTGTAGTGTTCCAGCATTCCTATTAATCTCCTTCCTGTCATAGTTCTGTTTTTAGTAAAAAGATAATACAAATTAACAATGCTTTAATTTTAAACAAGGTGGTAAAGTTGTAAAACTAACCTTTAACCTTTTTCTCGGATGCTCAAACTGTCTTTTCTTTCTCTTAGGCATCTAGTGATTTGCTTTACGTTTGCATCTTTATTTTTACGTATTTAAAATATTTCTCTTCAAGTGTGAAGTTAAAAATAGAGACAGGGAGTTGCCATTCTCTTTTTTATCAACAGGATTAGTTTGTTTTATGCTTTTTTTAACTATACACACCCCGCTAATGATCTTGAAATTCTATTTCTTAGCCTCCCCACCTCACCCTGTGATGCCTGGCATGGTGCTTTGCATAGAGTAGGTGCTTGCTGATTATTTGTGTAACAGAAATTGTGGAGTTGAATGCCCAGTCTCTCTACTACTCTCCTGTTGGCCTGTGCTTGCCTTAACCACAGACTCTCTACTATAAAATCTGTGACTAATTCCTCATTGTTTTTTAAGGATGGAGTGAGGGGCAGCCTTGCCAATTACTTCCTGTATCTTTTGTACTAAAAGATTTCCCCCAAATCCCTTCCAAGAACCTGTTTGATGATCTGTGGCCTGCTATATTGCTTTTCCAGCAGATAACTGGGTAGTTAAAGTCCCCCAGCACCACCAGATCCTGTCCCAAAGCCACTTGGGTAAGTCTACCAAAGAACGCCAACAAACACATCGGGAATGGTGATCATACCTTGGATTTTAATGGTGCCTTCTCTCCCCTGAGCCCAGAATGCTTCTGCATAAATCATTTCCCTCTCTGCTCCCAACTCTCAGATCCCTGTAGAGGCCAATGTTATGTCCATCCTATGAATGAAATCAGAACACCACTCAGGGAGAAGCCTGAGCCTGCTGTTCAGTTAGTGGTTGAGTTCGCGTTGCCTTGGACACATTTGCTTCTAACTCCAAATCCACTGCTCTGCGCTTAGCTTGTGCTCCACCATCAGCCTCTTGATTGGAAATTTTTGTTTGTGAGCATGCACTGAGATTCTCATTAGTTCTGTCCTAGTTTTCAGTTAATCCGGAGTTTTAACTTGTTGGCGGCCTTCTTACAGTCCTGGGCACCCGTGTAAATATTTGTAATATGCAGTGCGGCACTGCTCTGGCCCTGCCTGTGCCTCTCCTGCCAGAATAGCTCTTCTTCTGACCATGGGTTTTTTCCAGGCTTTCTCCAGACAGCAGCCCCTTGCAGAGCGAGTCGGTACTTCCGTGAGCGTCCTTGGGGTGACAGAAAGTGTGAGGATGAGGTCCCGAAGGGCATTGTTCTGCATAAGAGGAGCAAAAAGGTGTTCTCCCTTCAAACTAAAGTCACCCTTTAATTCCTCACTGTGAATTGATAACAGTAGAATAAGTGTTTACCCTAAAAGGAATTTTATTGTTACTCACTCTGATGCAAAACAAGCACCTCATCTAATCCTCTCCATGTTACAAGCCCAAGAGGTGGCCCCTGTCAGTGCCTCCATTTCACGCGGGAGAATTTGGAGCTTGGATAGCTAAGTAGGAGCTAAATACTGGAGAGTTAGGAGATGGTAACCTGAGCTCCAAACTCTGCTCTCAACCCCCAGCGCTGCTTCAGATGGGGCTCTGCAGGAGCCTCATCATCTCCGTGAGTAGCTTCAGGAAGACTCCTGGGAAGGTCGCCCTCCGGGAAAACTGCTGTTCACACCTTGAACAGGTCTTATTTTTAACAGGAAACAAACACATCCCGAATGGGTAAAAGCCACACTCGCCATAACTAGAGCTAAATGCTGAGGCTCAGTGCTCTGCCTTGACTCTACCTGCGGGGGAAATAAAGGGAAAAAAAGATTGATTCCTGGCTTGGCGTGTGTTTCCTTCAGTAATCAGTGTTCTTCCTAATCTGGTATTTGATTTAATGGATTGGTTTAAAATTATTGTATTTCATGTCCAGAAAATTGGAGCCAAATTAGTTATGGTACTGATCTTTGTGTTAATACTTCATGTCCCTCTGAACTCCATATAGGTAATTATGCAAAATAATATGTGCATAATTAACACAGATTAAGCTAGGTATGCTGTCTCTAAAAACGAAAGTTTATTAGAGGTAGTAAAATTAATCAGGATCATGTTGACCATTGTTTGGAACCCCTAGCTTTGCACAGTGGCAGTATTGTAGCCGATGAGGTTTATCTGAGGTGCGATTATTGCTAATTGTTTGAAACCCCGTGCTATGTGTTAGGCAGTCTGTACACATTGTCTCGTTTCTTTTCAATCTTTGAAAAATTCCGCAGTTAAAGATCACACTCTACCTGTGTTACAGAAGAAGGATCCGAGGAATAGAGAGATTAAGCAGCTCAGCGGAGTGTGATCAGCTACTGGAGCTAGGAGCAAAGGCTAGACTGAGTGGGGGCGTGAGTGGGGCCCTCATCCCAAACTTTGCGGGGCAGATGTTTTGAGGTGGAGAGCAGAGAAACCTGGGGCTGAGGGGAGACAGACAGATGGACGGTGACGAGCTGCTTGCTGGCTTTGGTTTTCTCTGTACTTGTGAAAGTATGAAGGCTCATTCCCCGCGCACTGAGAAACCAAGCCGTCTGTGTGTCGTTACAAGCAGCACGCCAGCACACACAATCTCCTAAATACTTCCTGGCATCTTTTGTCTTTTTAATATCCCCCTAAAGAACTCAAAGGATACACTGTGGTGTTCAGCTTTTATTAAACTGCTGTAGCACCAAATGGGGGAAGACTGAAGTGAAGGAGATTCTGGGCGTTAATCATTTTGGTGAAAATCCAGGTTGAAAGCTTTGAACTCCAACTAGTAGGTCACTCCATAGATTGTTTTACGTCCTAAATATCATGTCACTGTGCTGTATTTCTTAGATTCGACTCAGTCTCAGGACCTCATCACCCCAGGCCTCTACATGTAGCAAAGAACATCCTAGGTTTAGGAGCTAGAGCCACGGGGAACAATGCCTACCATGAGCTAGATCTTGTAGCACGAAATGTTAGAGCACTGTTTTATCCTCTGAGCTCCCTGCTCAGGAGTGTGGAGTTCACATTCCACGTGCACACGTCCGCTGGCGGTATCTGCGGGAAGGGCACCACGGCGACCAGAATGCCCCCAACACGGCCCTCTCTCCTCTCCTCAGAGAGCAGCATCTCCGTGGAGGTAGCCAGCAATGCCAGCGTCATCCTCGAGGGTGAGGACCTGCGCTTCTCCTGCAGCGTCCGCACGGCGGGCAGGCTGCAGGGCCGCTTCTCTGTCATCTGGCAGCTCATCGACAGGCAGAACCGCCGCAGCAACATCATGTGGCTAGACCGCGAGGGCACTGTGCAGCCGGGCGCATCATACTGGGAGCGCAGCAGCTTTGGGGGCGTGCAGATGGAGCAGGTGCAGCCCAACTCCTTCAGCCTGGGCATCTTCAACAGCAGGAAGGAGGACGAGGGCCAGTATGAATGTCACGTGACTGAGTGGGTGCGGGCAGTGGATGGCGAGTGGCAGATCGTGGGGGAGCGCCGAGCCAGCGCCTTCATCGCCATCACAGCTCTTGGTAAGTGAGAGGTGGGGCTGCTCTCAGGCTCTTCCTGCACTGCGCAGCTCGTGTTGGCCTCCATCAGAGTTCTTGTGCAACCCCGTGGCACCTGCTAAGAGGAAACTTTTTTTTTTTTTTGCGGTACTGGGGACCTTGCGCTTGCCAGGCAAGTGCTTATTCTACTGAGCTATCTCCCCAGCCCAAAGAGGAGACTCTTTTTAATAAATTATTTATTTATTTATTTATTTATGTGTGTGCGTGTGTATGTGTGTGTGTGTGTGCGAGCGTGCGTGGCCAGCTCAGCCCACCAGGGGGTGGGGCTGGCTGGCATGTGGTGCTGGGGGATTGAACCGCGGTCCCTGTGCTTTGCTTTGCTCAAGCTTGTTCTAAGTAGGTGCTTTAGACCACTGAGCCATCTCACCAGCCCCCCAAAGAGGAGACTCTTGAGGCCAAAGAAATCACCAGTGGATGGCAGGGCACCCAGAGCTGGCACCTTTGGGAGCTGTTAGCTTTTCTAGGGCTGAGATTGAAGCTGGATTCGGGCCACCACCCAGCAGGAACAAAGCTACCGTCAAAACTGCCTGGAAGAGAGGAGGGGAACGACCGAGTGCCACAGCACCTCTCTCCTGGCCTCGCTGCTCGCCTGCCCACAGTCCAGCCTTCCCTGGAAGTAGGCAGAGCAGGGTAGAAAGCCCCTTGCATTTAGCTGGCTTTGCTGTGTTGCTGAGTGAGCCCGAGTGCTCAAGTTTAGTTGCTCTACTGAAGCGTATGCGCGCAGGCTCACGTGTTAGGAAACCAGAAAGCATAATTTGCCCAAAATTACAGTTTCTAAGTGATGGACCCGCAGTCTGAGTCCAGGAAACTGGCGTTCGTCTTAATGTTTTTCAAGGCCTGTGCTTTTTGTACACTCCTCTGTGGGCCCCCTACTTAAGAATCCATTTCCTTCTTAGCATGACATAAAAAGATACCTTGAGATTTGCTAAAACTACAGAATATTAGATTTGCTTCTCACGGGGTACTTAAAAAGGCTTGTGTCAACTTTTATCTGCCAAATACAATCAGTATATTAAATTTTAAAAGACTAGTCTGCTACTTTGCTAAGCAGATAAGTTGTCATGAGAAGTCTTCTGTGTATCAGGGAGTTAACGTCAGTTATCCTCAGCGACGTTACACCCCACTCTTGTTGCCCGTCACTCCCAGGAAGAACTGTCAGAATGTCCGCAGCCCCTGCCGGCGCTGTCCGAGGCCAGGTCCTCCACTTCCCCACTTCCCTGAGATGAGGATTACATTTGCTCTTTAAAGGTTTAGTGCGTGGCCTGGTGAGATGGCTCAGTGGTCTAAAGCACCTACTTCGAACAAGCTTAGCAAAGCACAGGGACCGCGGTTCAATCCCCCAGCACCACATGCCAGCCAGCCCCGCCCCCTGGTGGGCTGAGCTGGGGACACACACACACACACACACACACACACAAATAAATTTAAAAAAAAAAAAAATAAAGGTTTAGTGCTCTGTACTGGCCCGCCCCCCCCAGGGGCACACTGAGACTACATTAAGACTGGGCGTGGTGTCGCGTGCCTGTAATCCCAGCACTTGGGAGGCTGTAAAACAGGAGGATCACTATGAGTCCGATGATCTACGCAGTGAAACCCTCTACACCCTGTCCTAAATACAAAAAAAAAAAAAAAAAAAAAAAACCTCAGTCTAGAGTTGAATCTGCTCTGTGCAGTCATCCTACAACTCACGTTTCTGTCTCTAGAAACTTCCTCCGGCTGTTGCTGTTCCTGACAGTTTCAGTCCCCGTGCCTCTGCTGGGCACTAGGAGAAAGCACAGCATGTCCAGTGTTGTAGCCCTGGTGGGTTAACCGCGTCTGCAGCGTGGTTGCAGCGAGTCGGGGTGAGCTCTATAGGAGCACCTTGGCCATCCTGGGTCATCCTCAGAGCATTTTTCTACTCACTGTATCCTGCAGTCCCCACAGCCAGGTTGTCCCGAGGGGGCCATGCTGGGACCCAGGGCCAATTCCGCGTTCCTCTCCTCCCCCAGGACAGTGCTGGCTGAAGCTGTAATCAGGGAAGGAAAGAGTGGGAGAGTTGGGCTGAGCTTGGTTGTTCACTCTCAAGTGAGCACCAGAGCAGCATTCCTGTCAGTGTGGTTAGCTGCGATCCCCTCGGGAGCAAAGTGACAGTGACCGGTGGTGTGTCTAGGTAATAGGTGGAGCACATAGGCTGTCATGCCTGTGCGTGTGGACCACTTCTGATACTGCACACACTGTAGTCAGTGACTATGACACTGACCACACCAGGCAGGCCAGGAGAGTCACTGCTGGCCCTGTCCCCAAGGTCCTGTTCTGCACCCCTTGTGGGGCAACACATGCTGCCCACAGGTCCAAAAATAGCTATGTAATGTTTAGGGATGGTCTTCTGAGTCCTTTTTTTTTTTTTAGATATATGATCTCACTAAGCAGTTTGGACTCATAGTGATCCTCCTGTCTCAGCCTCCCTAGTGCTGGGGATTATAGGCATGTGCCACTATGCCCAGTTTCAGACCCGGCATGGTGTGTGGTAGCAGGGATCGAACTCTGATCCTTGTGCTTCCCAGGCAGGTGTTTATGCCGCTGAGCTATCTCCCCAGCCCTGAGTCTTAATTGTTGTTTTAAGGATATTCATTATGGAATCCAAATTAAGATCCTGAGTTTTTAACATCCTTGTCTGACAACCACCATGGAAAAGGAGAAGGTTCACTGTGTGCCTGGCCTTTCCTCTGTAGGGCTTACTTTCATTTGTGTCCATTTTGTTTCTTTTCTTTTTTTTTTTTAGAAATTTTTTTAATTGTTTTATTTATTAGAGAGAGAGAGAGAGAGAGAGAGAGAGAGAGAGAGAGAGAGTGTGGTATGTGTGTGTGGCCAGCTCAGCCCACCAGGGGGCGGGGCTGGCTGGCATGTGGTGCTGGGGGATTGAACCACGTTCCCTGATGCTTTGCTAAGCTTGTTCTAAGTAGCTGCCTTAGACCACTGAGCCATCTCTCCAGTCCATCTTTTCTTTTTAAAAAAAATATATTTTAGGGAAGGGTCTACAAGGTATTCAGGGTCTCACTACTAGATCAGACTCATAGTGATCCGCCTGTTTACAGCCTCCCAAGTGCTGGGATTATAGGCGCATGCCACCACACCGAGCCTCATTTGCCATCTCAGTGTATCCCGGGCACGGGGCTGGCACAGCAGGCCCAGGGATCGAACCCCTGGCCCCTGCACCTGCTTGCAGGTGCTTTAATCCACTGAGCTATTTGGCCAGCCCTCATTTTGTTACTTAAGCAAACATCTTTTTAAAAAGTGTGTGCCAGATACTGTTCCAAGCATTGAACGGGTATTTGTTTCATTTTCACAAAAACTCATTTTCCAGATGGGGAAACAGCAGAAAGAAGTTAGG